CCTGGGTTCAGGCAATTCTCCTGCCTCAGCCTCCTGAGTAGCTGGGATTACAGGCACGCACCACCATGCCCAGCTAATTTTTTGTATTTTTAGTAGAGACGGGGTTTCACCATGTTGACCAGGATGGTCTCGATCTCTTGACCTCGTGATCCACCCGCCTCGGCCTCCCACAGTGCTGGGATTACAGGCTTGAGCCACCGCGCCCGGCCTCCTATGTATTTTCTTTTGAGACAGAGTCTCCCACTGTTGCCTGAGCTGGAGTGCAATGGCATCAATCTCAGCTCACCAAAACCTCTGCCTCCCAAGTTCAAGCGATTTTCCTGCCTCAGCCTCCCAAGTAGCTTGGATTACAGGTGCCCACCACCATGCCTGGCTAATATTTTGCATTTTTAGTAGAGACAGGGTTTCACTATGTTGGCCAGGCTGGTCTCAAACTCCTGAACTTGCGATCTGCCCGCCTCGGCCTCCCGAAGTGCTTGGATCACAGGCATGAGCCACTGTGCCTGGCCTGTCCTGCATTTTTATGCATTTAAGAGAGTAAGATGCAGTAAAATGTTATCACAAATATTGTTAATTTTCATAAAGGTTGAATGTTTACATACGTTTCTATGATTTCTAGTAAATGTTTAATTTTTTTTTTTGAACCAAGATTGTACCACTGCACTCCAGCCTGAGCGACAAAGCGAGGCTCTGTCTCAAAAATAAATGAATAAATAAATCCAATGTTCATTAATTTCCTATCTAGATGATCTAGCTAATACTGAGTGGAGCATTAAAGTCCCTGTTATTTTATCAAAGTCTACCTCTAGCTTTAGATCAAATAATATTTGCTTTATGTATCTGGGTGCTCCAGTGTTGGGTACACATATATTGAGAATTGTTTTTTTTTTTTTTTTTTTTTGAGACGGAGTTTCACTCGTTACCTAGGCTGGAGTGCAATGGCACGATCTCGGCTCACTGCAACCTCCACCTCCCAGGTTCAGGCAATTCTCCTGCCCCAGCCTCCTGAGTTGCTGGGATTACAGGCATGCGCCACCATGCCCAGCTAGTTTTTTGTATTTTTAGTAGAGATGGGGTTTCACCATGTTGACCAGGATGGTCTCGATCTCTTGACCTCGTGATCCACCCACCTCGGCCTCCCAAAGTGCTGGGATTACAGGCTTGAGCCACCGCGCCCGGCCGAGAATTGTTATATCCTCTCACTACGTTCATCTCTTTATCATATAATGATGTTCATTGTCTTTTTCTTTTCTTTTTGTAGAGACGAGGGTCTCACTATGTTGCCCAGGCTGGTCCAACTCCTGGCTTCAAGTAATCCTCTCACCTAAGCCTGCCAAAGTGCCGGGAATTTAGGTGTGCACCACCATACCTGACCCTCTTTTGACTTAAAGTATGTTTTATCTAAGTACAGCTACTCCTGCTCACTACATTTTCTATTTGCATGGAATATTTTTTTCCATCATGTTACTATTGGTCTTTATGTGTCTTTACAGGTAAAATCAGGCAGGCTAATTCTTAGGCCTACAGGTGGCTTGCTCAAGTGCCAGCAGTGGCAGAGGTGGGCCAAACAGGTGTGTGGGTCCTTGGGCCCCTAGGAATCATGTGTGGCATGGGTAGCAGTGGCAGGACAATCCTCAAGCTCCTAGGCAGCATGCACAGGCATTACCAATGTCTACAACAGGCAGGGCTGGCCAGTCCCCAGAACCCCAGGTGGCATGTGTGTGTGGGTGCTGGTGGTGGCAGCAGACTGGGTGGGCATATCCTCAGGCCCCCAGGAGGAATGCACAGATGTCAGCAGTGGTGGACAGGGAAGGGTGATGACTAGGGCCCCAGGCAGTGTGGACACCACTCAAGCACACTGTGTGGAGCCCTAGGAATCACCAGTGCTTCCCTGTTCACCACTGCTGGCATCTGTGCCAGGGAGAACCTGTCCTCAGGATGTGTGCAAGTGTGTGGTAGCCCTGCTGCATGGTGGGGGTAGGGCTGCTATTAGTGGCAGCAGCCCCAGGCAAGCAGCTCTCAGGCTCTGGGGGATATACGCTTTGGCTCCCTTTGTCCCCAGGGCAACCTCCCAGGTGTACTACACTGCCTTGGGTGTGGAACACTGTAGGTGCTAGAGTGCAGGGCACCCTACCACACTGCTGCGTCCAACCTGTGTACAGCCACTGCAGCCTTAAAGATGGATGTGGGGGGATGTCAGAGGGACTCCAGGGTCGTGTAGATGCAGGGGTTGTTGGGTCCCAAGACAGGATACAGTCTGGTGGAGGCCTGGTCTCTCAAAATATGGCCGTGTGGCATCTGACCTTAAATCCAGCAGTGAAGAGGGCAGCATGGGGGGAGGCGGGACACCACATGAGCTCCCTGTATGGAATAATGTCACTGTGCAAACTCTAGACAAATCCCTATGCTAGTCTTAGGGCCTGTGACAATTAAGGGGATGTGGCCAGGTGCCGTTGCTTACCCCTGTAATCCCAGCACTTTGGGAGGCGGAGGTGAGTGGATCAATTGACGTCAGGTGTTCAAGACCAGCCTGGACAACGTGGCGAAACCGTCTCTACTAAAAATACAAAAATTAGCTGGGCATGGTGGTGGGCGCCTGTAATTCCAGCTATTCAGGAGGCTGAGGCAGGAGAATTGCTTGACCCTGGGAGGTGGAGGTTGCAATGAGTTGAGATCATGACGCTGCACTCCTGGTTGACAGAGACTCCGTCTCAAAAAAAAAAAAAAAAAAAAAATGTCTAGTGAAGCTGAATGAGATGGCTCATGCCTGTATTCCCAGCATTTGGGAGGCTGAAAGTGGTGGATAAATCACTCTAGGTTAGGAGTTTGAGACCAGCCTAGCCAATATAGAAAACTCTATCTCTACTAAAAATACAAAAATTAGCCAGGCGTGGTGGCACGCACCTGTAGTCCCAGCTACTTGGGAGGCTGAGGCAGGAAAATCACTTGAACCTGGCAGGCAGAGGGAGGAAGAAGTTGCTGTGAGACGAAATTGCACCACTGCACTCCAGACTGGGTAACAGAGTGAGTCAAACAAAAAAAAACCTAGTGACATTTTTATTGAGACTGCATTGAATCCACAAACCAACTTGGGGAGGATTAACATATTAAGACTTCCAATTCATGAACATAATAAATGTCCTCATTTACTTAGGCATTCTTCAATTTATCTCAGGATTGTTTTGTAGTTTTCAGTGTACAAGTCTTGCATAATTTTGTAAAATTTATTTCTAAGTACTTCATAATTTTATGCTCTTATAAATTACATTTTTTTTGAGAGAGAGTCTTGCTCTGTAGCCCAGGCTGGAGTACAATGGCACAGTCTACGCTCACTGCAACCTCCACCTCCCGGGTTCAAGCGATTCTCCTGCCTCAGCCTCCCGAATAGCTAGGACTACAGGTGCATACCACCACACCTGGCTAGTTTTTGTATTTTTAGTGGAGATGGGGTTTCACCATGTTGGCCAGGCTGGTCTCAAACCCCTGACCTTGTGGTCTGCCCACTTCAGCCTGCCAACGTGTTGGGATTACAGGTGTGAGCCACTGCACCCGGCCATAAATTACATTTTTAAAATTACAATTTGGATTGGCTTCACTTCCCCCTAAAAAAACAGCACTGAGATTTCCATAGGCAGCAAGGTGGTCAATATCCTATCGAGCAGCCAGTCCTGAGTGTACAGCCCTGGGAAGTGGGGGAGCAATGGAAAATGAAGGTAATTCCTCCTTCATGGGATTTTTGTGAAGCTGAGATAGGGAATCTACTCCAGACCAGATTGAAGACACTGAAATCAGGAAGAGGCAGTGAAAGCACTTCCCCATAAGACATGGCCACCATTGCCATGGCAGTTTGCCATTGTCTTGGCAACACCCAGAAGTTACTGCCCCTTAGCAGAGCAACATCTGGAAGTTACCACCCATTTTCTAGCCCGTTCTGAATAATATTTGGAAAGTCGCATGTTATTAAAAGTGGGTAAATAGGCCGGGTGCAGTGGCTTATGCCTGTAATCCCTTTGGGAGGCTGAGGTAGGTAGATCATGAGGTCTGGGGTTCAAGACCAGCCTGGCCAGCATGGTGAAACCCATCTCTACTAAAAATACAAAAATTAGCCTGACATGATGGCATGCACCTGCAATTCCAGCTAATCAGGAGGCTGAGGTAGGAGAATCGTTTGACCCCGGGAGGTACAGGTTGCCGTGAGTCAAGATCACACTACCACACACCAGCCTGGGCAACAGAGCAAGACTCCGCCTCAAAACAAAACAAAATAAAGTGGGTATAAGCTGGGCACAGTGTCACACCTGTAAACCCAGCACTCTGGGAATCTGAGGCTGGAGGATCACTTGAGCCCAAGAATTCAAGATCAGTCTGGGCACATGCAAAACCCTGTCTCTTAAAAAAAAAAAAAAAAATTTAAAGAGATGGAGTCTTGCTATTTTGCCGAGGCTGGTCATGAACTTCTGGGCTCAAGCAATCCTCCCAACTGAGTCTCCCAATGTGCTGGCATTACAGGCATAAGCCACCAATCCTGGCCCCCCATATATATACAGTTTTTGAGACAGAGTCTTGCTTTGTCACCCAGGCTGGAGTACAGTGGTGTGATCTCGGCTCGCTGCAACCTCTGCCTCCCCTGTTCAAGCGACTCTCCTGCCTCAGCCTCCGAAGTAGCTGGGATTATAGGTACCCACCCACCATGCCTGGTTAATTTTTTTGTATTTTTAGTAGAGATGGGGTTTCACCATGTTGGCCAGGCTGGTTTCAAATCCCTGACCTCAAGTCTTCTGCCTACCTTGTCCTCCCAAAGTGCTAGGATTACAGGCATGAGCCACCATGCCCTGCCTAAAACATTTTTTTAAATTAGCTGGATGTGGTAGCATGCAACTGTAGTCCCTGCTACCTAGGAGGCTGAGGTGGAAAGATCACTTGAGTCCCAGAAGTCAAGGGTGCAGCGACCCATGATCACACAGTTGCATTCCAGGCTGGATGATAAAGCAAGACTCTGAAAAGGTGCCATAAACCATAAGATCTGGATCCATACTTTGGTTATCCCACCTGTCTCCTTTGAGCCCCACAGGGAGTGCCCGGACACTGTGACAGCAAAAACTTGACAATGACAAAGGCCACAGTATCCAGAGACACCAGAAGCACTGGATGGGTCACAAAAGGCACATCCTAGGACTACAGAATCTTTCCGTCTCAGGATAATGGTGATGAGAGGTAAACAGCCCAGAGAGGATATGAGAATCCAGAAAGCCTATAGATTATTTGCTGACAGTAACCTTGCCACAAATAACAGGTCTGTAATTGCTGAGAAGTTCTGGTGTCCTCACCCCATAAAACCTCAGTTGCTGGAACATTTGTGGATGCCTCTTTAGAGTTGGCTCAAGCGCTCTTGTTTACCAGACACTTCACTCCATACTACTTACTCGGTATTTCTATGCCCACTTACTCTACCCAACAGGGCCCTATAGGTTTTACAGTCAGTCTAGAACTTACCTCCATGTTCCAGATCTTGGAGAATATGGATTCTGAGCTGAATCTGAAAACAGCTCCTTCTGACCGTCGCTGGAAGTTCTGGAACATTCCTGGGAACAAGGAACCCAACGTTTTCTGTCCATAAACATACAGATCTCACACCAACTATCCCCTTCTTCAAGGTGAGCTCTGGACCCACAAACATGCCTGACATCCAGGCTACAGGTCTTTCTTTCCCCAAATGACTCAGGGGCCAATACAAATTAGGCCAACGTGACTAATTAGGCCAACTTGTCATCCTGCCATCCCCACTGAGGCAGAAAAAAACTCAAGAGACCACCTCCACAAAAGCCACTCCCTCAACTTATGGTGATAGTGCCTGATTCTATTCTCAATCTCTCCACACACAGGGATCAGAACCTCAATATTAAAAGTGACTTGGTGGAGCACAGTGGCTCACAACTATAATACCAGCACTTTGGAAGGCTGAGGCAAGAGGAGTGCTTGAGGCGAGGAGTTCATAACCAAACCTGGGCAATGTAGCAAGATCCTGTCTCTACAAAAAATTTTTTAAATTAGCCAAATATTGTGGCACACAAGTGCAATCCTAGCTATTCATGAGGCTCAAGCAAGAGGATCACTTGAGTCCAGGAGTCCAAGTCTGCAATGAACTAGGATCATACCACGGCACTCCAGCCTGGGCAAGAGTGTGAGACCCTGTCTCTAAAAAAACTAGATCAGGTACAGTGGCTCCTAGCACATTGGGAGGCCAAGGCAGGAGGATAGCTTGAGGCTCAGAGTTTGAGACCAGCTTGGGCAATGTAGTGAGACCCTGTCTACCAAAATTTAGCCAGGTGTGATGGTGCACACCTGTAGTGCCAGCTACTTAGGAGGCTAAAGCAGGAAGATCCCTTGAGACCAGGAATTCGAGGCTGTGGTCAGCTGTGATGGCACCACTGCTCTCCAGCCTGGGCAACAAAGCAAGACCATCTCAAAAAAAAAAAAAATATTTTTTTAAGTGGCTTAAGCAATAAAGCCTTTATTACCACAGTCCAGAGCAGTATGAGACAGTCCATGCTAGGGCATGACAAATACCCCATGTAATATCAACCATGTCCATGAAAATGGTAAACCTTCCCAACAAGCCCCCAGCATATACCAGCTCAGCTCCTCTGGCCAGAGCTGGATCATGTTCACAGCTAAACCAGTCAGGGGTAAGGAATGAGCTGTTTTGGGCTCCACCACTAATGATTCTCTACAGTTTAGAGCAAGGAGCCCAAGGTCTGCTGTACCACTTGCTGTAGGGACCTTACAGGGTGGATAGAAGTGGATGGCTTCTATCACATAAACTGACAGTGACATGACACTGCCAACAGCCCCAGGCAAGTTAGAGTCCAATGTGGCTCCTGAAAGCTTCCCACAAACCAGGCACACATGAGAACTCTCCCCAGGGTGGACGTTGGGATACACAAGGTTAAGCTTCTTTCACATGGCACTCTCACGGTCACTCTCCTCAATCTTCTTTCTGGAATAAGACCTTTTCTGATGAACAAATGCTAGCAGCTAACAACTTTCCCATGTGACCTGTCCTCCTAAGGCCTTTCTGAAGTATGAAATTTCTTGTGCTGAAGGAGAGTAGAACAATGTTTGAAGACTTTCCCACATTCTGTACATTCATAAGACCTCTCTTCAGTGTGGAACTGCTGGTGCCGATTGCGGTAGGATCTGGTAGTAAAGGTTTTCCCACACAGGCTACATTCATAGGGCCGTTCCCCAGTGTGGACTTTCCAGTGCTGATAGAGGCCTGAACGAGTCACGTAGGCTTTCCCACATTGCTTGCATTCAAAAGGCCTTTCTCCAGTGTGAACTCTCTGGTGAAGAATGAAGCTATTACTGTATTTAAAGAACTTCCCACATTCTGTACACTCATAGGGCCTTTCTCCAGTGTGCACCTTCTGGTGCCTAATGAGGGTAGACAGAACACTGAATGTTTTCCCACATTTGCTGCACTCATAAGGCCTTTCTCCAGTGTGAATCCTCTGGTGTAGAACAAGTGCATCTTTGCGGTTGAAGGTTTTCCCACATTCACTACACTTAAAAGGTTTTATGCCCGTGTGAACCTTCTGGTGTTTCCTCAGCTTAGACGGGTAACTGAAGGCCTTCCCACACTCATTACACACATGGGATGTTTCTCCAGTGTGAATTTTTCGGGGGTTAATATGAGTTGACTTCTCCCTGAAAGCACTTCTGCCTGCTGGGCATCTGAAGGGTCTCTCTTCAGAGTGAGTTATCAGATGGTCAAGGAGGGCAAAGGCCTTCAAGAACACCTTCCCACAGTCACTACATTTGAACAGCTTCTCTGCCACATGGACTCCTTGCTGTTGCCCACAACTGGAACTAGGTGGGAAGGCTGCCTCATACTCAGTGTGCCTCCTTGGTTTCCCCTCACTACGAGTGTCTTGGTGCTGGATGACTCTGTAGCTCTTCACATGCTTGGGAGGGGCTCTCTCATCCTCCACTCTACACAGACCATCTGAAAGCAGAGGTGAATCTATTACTGAGAGTTGAACTAGAGGAAGGAGTTACGTTCATCACCAATGCATGTCAGATACACCCAAAAGGACTCTATAGAATTGCTGAAAGATTGCTGGGAAAGGTCTGGGTTAGAAAAGCCTGGCCCAAATTAGCTCAACCATGTGGAAGACAGTGTGGCGATTCCTCAAGGACCTAGAAATAGAAACTCCATTTGACCCAGCAATCCCATTACTGGGTATATATCCAAAGGATTACAAATCGTTCTACTATAAGGACATGTGCACACGAATGTTCATTGCAGCACTGTTTACAATAGCAAAGACCTGGAACCAACCCAAATGCCCATCAATGAGAGACTGGACAGGGAAAATGTGGCACATATACACCATGGAATATTATGCAGCCATCAAAAACGATGAGTTTGTGTCCTTTGTAGGGACATGGATGAACGTGGAAACCATCATTCTCAGCAAACTGACAGAAGAACAGAAGATCAAACACCGCATGTTCTCACTCATAGGCAGGTGTTGAACAATGAGAACACATGAACACAGGGAGGGGAGTATGACACACTGGGGTCAGTTGGGGGGAAATAGGGGAGGGACAGTGGGGGGAGGGGAGTTGGGGAGAGATAGCAAGGGGAGAGATGCCAGATGTAGGTGATGGGGAGGAAGGCAGCAAATCACACTGCCACGTGTGTACCTATGCAACAATCTTGCATGTTCTTCACATGTACCCCAAAACCTAAAATGCAATAAAATAAATGGAAAAAAAAAAAAAAAAGAAAAAAAGAAAAGGCTGGCCCAACTGAACATGGCTCCATCAGACTACAGAATAAGAAAGATCTCTCACAAAAAAAAAAGAAAAAAAAGAAAGATCTCAACTGAAATGAGGGCACAAGATAGGGTGCAGTGCAGGGAGGAGAGGAGGGTCTCCAAGTCACTCCTCTGCAAAAGGGTTTCAGCAGGACCTTGGCTGCTGGGGACAGGTGAGCACTGTAAGAAGGCAAGTGTCTAGTTCCAGCAAAATCTGATTGCAAAATAGTAGCTTGTGTTTAAATATTAATTGAGGGTTGACTGAAGATCAAATACCTATTTAAGGATATGCGCACATCTTGAGTCATCCACTGAGTGGCCCACTGTAGACAGCTCTGCATAGATACAGAGAAGGGCAATGAAGAGACACAGGCCAAAGAGGCAGGAACATGCAGAGCCTGAAAGTCACAGTAGAGATGGCAGACTGCACAGCATTCAGATAAGAGGAAAGGTGGAAATAAGGTATGGTCACTGCCCTCAACGCCAAGGTATGAGTGTATGCAGGTACCCAGCATTCTGTGAGCCCACAGCTGAAACCAAGGTATTCCCCGCTGCTCCACTTACCAAGACCAGGACCAGGACCAGCACCTCTGCTGGCTTCTGTTCTGCTGACTAGAGTCACATCCACCCAGCTGGGCACACACGGCTGTTCATCATCCACCAGCTGGGTAAACACAGGGGATCTTGAAGGTGCAAGTCCTGGGGTTGACAGGCAGTAAAAGAAACAGGCTGGAATGGTGGCTAATGTCTATAATCCCAACACTTTGGAAGGCTGAGGTAGGAGGATCACTTAAGGCTAGACATTTGCAACCGGCCTGGGCATCATGGTAAGACCCCATCTCTTCAAAAAGTATATATTTTTTAAAAATTAGCCAGGCATGATGGCATACACCTGTAGTCCCAGCTACTTGGGAGGCTATAGTGAGAGGATTGCTTCAGCCCAGGCGGTCAAAACGTCAGTGAGCCACAATCAAATCACTGCACTGCAGCCTGGGCAACAGAGTGACACCCTGTCTCAAAAACAAAGAAACAAACAAACAGAGAAAAAAAAGCCTTCCTATGCAGCAAAACTGACATAATTGAAGAAACAGACAGTTTAGCAATAATAAAGATTGTAATTTCCCATCATCAATAATGAACAGAATCTCTAAGAAGAAAATGAAAAAGGACGTAGCAGGCTTGAACAACAATGAAAACCAACTGGACCTAACAGACATCTATAGAGCATGCCACCTAACAACAGCAGGATATACATTTTAACGGGCACATGGAACAGTCTTCAGAACATACCGTTTGCTAGGATATAAAGTAAGCATCAATAGATTCCAAAGGATTGAAAAAATACCAAGTATGTTCTCTGTCTACAAATTAAAACAGAAATCAGGCCGGGCGCGGTGGCTCAAGCCTGTAATCCCAGCACTTTGGGAGGCCGAGGTGGGTGGATCACGAGGTCAAGAGATCGAGACCATCCTGGTCAACATGGTGAAACCCCGTCTCTACTAAAAAAATACAAAAAATTAGCTGGGCATGGTGGCACGTGCCTGTAATCCCAGCTACTAAGGAGGCTGATGCAGGAGAATTGCCTGAACCCGGGAGGCGGAGGTTGCGGTGAGCCGAGATCGCGCCATTGCACTCCAGCCTGGGTAACAAGAGTGAAACTCCGTCTCAAAAAAAAAAAAAAAAAACAAAACAGAAATCAACTGGCTGGCATGGTGGCTCATGCACTTTTTATAATCCCAGCACTTTGGGAGGCCGAGGCAGGTGGATCATGAGGTCAAGAAATTGAGACCAGCCTGGCCAACAAGGTGAAACCCCATCCCTACTAAAAAATACAAAAAATAAAATAAAATAATTAGCCGGGCATAGCAGCATATATCTATAGTCCTAGCTACTGAGGAGCCTGAGGCAGGAGAATCACTTGAACCCAAGAGGTGGAGGTTTCAGTGAGCTGAGATCGCACCACTGCACTCCAGCTTGGGCAACAGAGTGAGACTTCGTCTCAAAAAGAAAAAAAAAAACAAAACAAAACAAAAAACCAAAAAACAAAATCAACAACGGAAATTTGGGAAACTCATAATTTTAAGGAATTTTTTTTTTTTTTTTTTTTTTTTTTTTGAGACGGAGTTTCGCTCTTGTTACCCAGGCTGGAGTGCAATGGCGCGATCTCGGCTCACCGCAACCTCCGCCTCCTGGGCTCAGGCAATTCTCCTGCCTCAGCCTCCTGAGTAGCTGGGATTACAGGCACGCGCCACCATGCCCAGCTAAGTTTTTGTATTTTTAGTAGAGACGGGGTTTCACCATGTTGACCAGGATGGTCTCGATCTGTTGACCTCGCGATCCACCCGCCTCGGCCTCCCAAAGTGCTGGGATTACAGGCTTGAGCCACCGCGCCCGGCCCACATTTAAGGAATTTAAAGAAAACATTCCTAAAAATCCAGAGTCAAAGAAAAAAAAACACATGAAAATTACAAAGTACTTTGAGAGGAATGAAAATTAAAACACAACAAACAAAAAATTATGAGGCCAGGCGCAGTGGCTCAAGCCTGTAATCCCAGCACTTTGGGAGGCCGAGGCAGGTGGATCACGAGGTCAAGAGATCGAGACCATCCTGGTCAACATGGTGAAACCCTGTCTCTACTAAAAATACAAAACATCAGCTGGGAATGGAGGCGCGTGCCTGTAGTCCCGGCTACTCGGGAGGCTGAGGCAGGAGAATTGCCTGAACCCAGGAGGCGGAGGTTGCAGTGAGCCGAGATCGCGCCATTGCACTCCAGCCTGGGTAACAAGAGCGAAACTCCGTCTAAAAAAAAAAAAATTATGGGATGCAGAAAATGCAGTGCTTAGCGGGAGAATTACAGCTATAAATACCCATATTTTTAAAGATCTCAAACCAGTAACATAACTTTACACCTCAAGGAACAAGAAAAAGAAAAACTAAAGCCAAAGATAGCAAAAGGAAGGAAATAATAAAAATTAGAGCAGAAACAAATGAAACAGAGATTAGGAAAATAAAGAGAATCAACAAACCAAAATTTGGTTCTTTGAAAAGATAAACAAAATTGGCAAATGTTTACCTAGAGTGAAAAAATAGACAGTAGACCCAATATTACTACACACAGGAATGGAAAAAGAACATCACTAGTGACCTTATAAAAATTAAAAGATTATCATGAAATACTATGTACAAATGCATGCCAATAAATGAGATAACTTAGATGAAATGCACAAATTCCCAAGTTGACACAAACAACCAAAACTGATTCAAGAAGAAATAGAAAATCTAAACAGGCCGGGCGCGGTGGCTCGCGCCTGTAATCCCAGCACTCTTGGAGGCTGAGGCGGGTGGATCACGAGGTCAAGAGATCAAGACCACCCTGGTCAACATGGTGAAACCCCGTCTCTACTGAAACTACGAAAAATTAGCTGGGCATGGTGGCGCGTGCCTGTAATCCCAGCTACTCAGGAGGCTGAAGCAGGAGAATTGCCTGAACCCAGGAGGCGGAGGTTGCGGTGAGCCGAGATCGCGCCATTGCACTCCAGTCTGGGTAACAGGAGCGAAACTCCGTCTCAAAA